GTTAAGTTTATGGATTGCTCTATGCTATGAATCCAGCCAAGTGAGCTAATTCAGAATTCCTTTATACTGGTTTCCAACATGCTAAAAAAAAAAAAAAAAAGAGTGCATCCTGTGGAGCAATGAGAAGCAGCTTACCATAAGATAACAATAAATAAATAAATAAATAAAATGCAACCCTAAACCATGATTAAACCATCTTGTCCACACGTAGCCTCTGGCATTTCACCAGAAACCTAGGCCCCACTGAAAGGAACAAAGCAGTCAAGGAAAAGACCCACAGACCTGGTTTAAACTGAATCCGCACCCCTGCATCGTTCTGAATCTTTTTGATCATTTCGCCATTTCTTCCTATTACAATTCCCACCGCGAATCTGGGTACGGAGACCTGTGGAGAGGAGGGAAATTAGTGAGCAGGGGGCTTGGGTCACGAACCACACTGGAAGCCCAGCCACGTTCAAGCATTAAGGCCAGAGATTCACCCCGTGCCTAGCCAGCTTCTTCATCACTCACAGCCGCTTGCGTTAAGATTCCATGAGGCACAGAACCTGGTTATTTGTGGGACCGCCCTCCCTAAGAATAGCTGCCTGTCCCATCAGATGGGACAGGGTAGGCACATTCCAGGTCCCTTCCCTGAAATCCTGTCATCTAGTGGGACCTGGGAAGCACGCCTTGTGGAACACCCTCTCCCCCTGGGTGATTCGGCAGGCTCCCACCCTTTTAGCTTTTCGGAAGGCCGTTAAGACCTGGCTTTTTCCCGAGGCACTGGGATAGGATTGTATAGACAGACAGTGGGGAATGAAGGCAACTGGAGCCTGCTGTGGGTCTTCCTAAGGGGTCAATTAAGGCATGGGGTTTTTGTTTTATTGTTTTACTGTTTTATGATTGCTTGTAATTACTGTTTTATTGTTGTGGTGAGCCGCGCCCAGAGTTGCTTAAGATGGGCGGCCATATAAATCTTTCGAATGAACGAATGAATGAATGAATGAATGAATGAGTGAATGATCGATCAAGAAAGGGAGCTAGAGTAAATATCGGTTCACCCACAGATTTTGAGAGGACTTCAGCAGCAACCCTACCACACAGTTGTTGATTTTAGGACTGGGATGAGGGACCGGAGGCCCAGAATGACATTTCTGTACCTTCCAGAATGACTACAGTTACTAAAAGGTCTTTTTTTACTATTTCAAGAAGGGGAACACTCAAAAACTAAGCCCTAAAATGCACTTAACACAGTCAAAGGAAACACTCCCATTTTCCCTAAACCCCCTAGAAAAGCTTGGCTCCATTCGCCTGGCATCACCAACATGGCATCCATGTGGCATCACTAACCCATCCTGTGCGCCTCTTGGATATCCCACAAATGTAGTTCAGGTCATCCTTGTTTAGCGGCTGCCTCGTTTAGCAACTGTTTGCAGTTACGACAGGGATGAAAAAGAAACTTTACAACCCATCCTCGCATTTATGACCTTTGCAGGTCTGTAAAGCCAAGGAAAGCTGAAGTAAGCACTGTCGTGGTTTCACTCAGGAACCGCTTCACTCAATGACTGAGTTGCCAGTCCCCATCATGGTTGTTAAACAAGGACTACCTATATGTGGTCTCTGGTCATTGAAAAAGGCCCACATACGGAGGAATGGATTGTGAAGATGGCAGAATTTGCAGAAATGGCAAAACTGACCTGTTTGGTTAGGGATAAAACAATAAGTATTTTTATAAAAGACTGGAAACCTTTTAAGGACTTTGTGCTGAAAATAGAAAAAAATGAAAGGGTGGTTTTTGGATTTGCTGGTTAAAAAGGGTTGAATATGGGAAGAAGGGAACCATATAATAATGTAACCATAAAGAGGGAGGAGAGTTAATAAGTTTGTTTGTACCCGCTGTAAAGAAGACTGGAAGTTACGTCTTTAGATTTCTTTTTCTTTTTGCTTTATCTGTATTGTGTCTTGCACTTTTATCTTTTTTCTTAATTTTTCTTTATATACTTTCATGTTTATCTTTTACTTAGGTAAAAATCTCTAATTAAAAATTATATAGATGAAAAACAGCCACTCACATTCTAGGGGAATGCATTACTGTAACTCCTAAAATTAGTTGGGGGTTAGAGGACCCCTTGCAACAAGGTTGGGCAGCTGTTCCTTAAGGCCATCCGCTGGGGGCTGCCTGATGCAAGTAGGGGGTGGCCCCAGAGGGTGAAGCAAGTGGGGACACTCCCCCCTTCTTTCTCCTTGAGATTCCCCTCTTATTTTCTAACACCTGTCCCTTCCCTCCCACCCTCTGCAGACAACCCTGAACTAATCCTCTGGAGAAGGATTTAGAAATTAAGCCAGGGATTGCCCACCCTGCCTTACACAAAGGTAAGACCACCTGCTCCACCTGGTAATGGCTAATGCACCCTTCCGTAACAGCTTAGTCCAAGAAGGAGCTGCAGGGAGATTCTATCTCTTTCTCTTGTTCCTCCAGCCCTCCGTCCAGGGGCTCCCAGGGAAGAGATGCATTCGTTTTAATAAAGTCTGCCCCGTTACCCCTCACCAGGAAATATACAGTAACAGAGCTAGGGACAAAATCTGTTAGCTTTTCACCTAGCGTCAATGCCGCCTTGCAAAAGCAGATTCGATTTCAAAGTAGCCACGGTTCTACGACTACTACCACGGGGGAAATCACAGCTCTGCTCCCTCTTCCCCCAGACCCACCCCCCACCCCCCAATTATTATCTGCAGAGCAAGAAGGCACAACTTGTTAAGACAACCACATACCTCTATGCTTCCTCCCATTCTGGATGTAAAATCGTTGCGTACGCCCCGGAAGTCCGCCTGATCTTTTTCTCGGATGATCTCCAGCACCATTTCTCTGGCTTGCTAGATTATTCAGAAAATGGATCCGGATTAGAGTCAATCAACGGGGAACCTGTGTTTGTGTCTCCCAGGTTAGGGAAGCAGGACATGCTCTGTGACTGCTAGAATTCTCAGCGAAAGCCAGGTTGGCTGGGGAATTCTGGGAATTCACATCTGGAGGACATTCAGGCTGGAAAAGACATGGCCTTTTCGGCCGTTTTCCTTTGCCCACTTTTTAAAACGTCTGCAGACTTCAGAGCAGCAGAGAATGCTTTTTGGGGGGGAGGGGGGAATGTCACACTTTAAATCTGCATCCGTCCAACCTCGCCGCTGCATGATGTGATAACCGATCTAATTTTGTTTCTAGATTTCACAGGAATGGCTGGCATTTGAATCAAAGTTTGAAACATGGAGTCTGTGGAACTTACAGCTTTGTCTGTCTCTCAACACAGAGATTCTTAATTTGCCTTCTATAGTTTCTTCAGTCCTAAATCCTACCGTTCTGGTGGGGTTTGCAGAAGACTCTAGGCTAGCCTAAAATGCAGTTAAGGCGGTGATGAGAACTGAACCTCTGTCTGAGCGTATCTTGCAAATGGTACTGTAACATTAATGTAATCTGCCCTGCGTCTTGGCCATAGAACGTCATGGGAATGCAGCCCCTGTATCTTACAAACCTTGGTTCAGAAATAATTCTGCTGGAGAACCAGCCTCCAAGTTGATGCAATCCAAATGTTGCAGCTTGTTTCTTGATTTATATATACCCCAAGCAGAGCTGATTTGGGCTAGCTCTTTTTAAGTGGAAGGCATGAAAAATATTTTCTGACACAGAATTAAGGGGAC